TTTTTTTTTTTTTTATTACTAACGTCCGTAGATCTACTTCTTCGTTCTTATGCAACCTGAATAAGTTTTCTCACTCGTCGTCGCTCGCACGATCATCTTCGAATCAGATTTATCGATACAGAGCATCTCCGTGATTGTTGCTTTCGAATTGTTTTCACTCGCAGAAATACCTCTGGCGCGAGGTACGATTGGATTTTCACCGCGTTGCAAATGTTTTTGATGTTTTCAAAGAAACGCATTGAGAGATAGAGAACTTTTTGTATACTTTTGCATTATCAAAGACTTTACTTTAACAGCTAGTCACACTTTGATTGAAATTCTCGACTGAAACGAAATTCCCTGGAAATTTTATAACCTTGGCACCGTGCCATACAAAATTTCCAATTTTTCAAAAGTTAAACGATCGCGATACGACGTTCGGAGCATCCCAATTTCTTTCAACTCGGAGCAAACGTGGCACTGTTTCAGCACACGGGCAAGACTCGTGTTCTCCGAAATGTTTTCACAAAACTTTCGGAACGGAACAGCCACGTGTGCGTCGCTTAAAAATAACGAATAGTTAATATCAGGCCAGCTATATATATTTTCACCAGACCAATTGCATCAGTCGGCGTCTCGTTTTCAGAATTCCCTTATTCTTTTCAACGTTCTTGGCGCGTGTCTGTTAATAAGTCCGCGTGTCTCGTTTTTCACGCGGGTCCAGATGAGAAACTCGACGCCCTGTGCTCGCGAGGCTTTAATGCGGTAATGATTCGCGTAAATACGAGATTGCAGGGCCCCGATGCGTCTGTGGATGGCAGTCGGCCGCCGACGTCGACGATGACGAGGAACTGGCGTTAAAGATGATGAAGAGGGGGGGGGTGGGAGGTGAGGGGGGAGGCGAAAAGGCGGAATTAGCGCTCGCGCGAGTATAATTGGCCGTTCGTTCGCAATAAGTAATCGCTCGGGGCTGCTTCGTAGACCTTCTGTCACGTAAAATTGAAACACTCAAGACCCGACGGTTCGCTGCTTTTCGAACTTGCATCTGTGTTACTCCCTTTCGAAAGACCTTCCACGTTCAGATGTAAACCAGAAACGTTCCCTTTATATATTGTAAATTGCTTGC